ATTGAAGATAAAATACAATGTTTTTATCTGTAAAGGCGCGTGTGTTTGCCATTCGATAACAATTCAATTTAAAAATACATGCAATCCCAATTTTAGAATATATGTTGCTGATATTTTGCAGCTGTCTAAAGTTTGCTTCGGGCTAGTATTTAAAGTGTATTTTGCCTTCATTAAAACGGAAGCTTGCCGTCCATTTTTGGATGAATCATTCTGATTTAAGTATGCAGGATTGACATGGCCGATCCGACAGGAAGACAAGCAGCTCCCCCTAGCGGCCGGGATACGGCCTCGTTGTCGCCATGTACCAACTGATTTGCAGAGTACGGTGTTATACGGTGACAAATACCTCATATTATTGGGTTGTGCTGCTTGCAGCCACATAAGCTGCTTAGGTCTTCGGCCTTGAGCTTTTCCTGAGAGGAGAATGAGAACATAATACAAGAAGCATTGGTTATTGTTATAAAAGCAAAAATACAACGTCATGAAAATGTAAACAAAGCAAATGATTGTTCCCATCAAAAGCATTTTTTTATTATATATATTACGATATATATCATAGCAACATCGCAGTATATGTTACACGACACATGTTGTCGTCAAAATACAAACTAGATACCTTTTGCACTTACTAGGAAATGACAATAAAACTGTTTACTTTTTTCCCATACTTAACAATTTTTCTATTTTCTAAAACATCGACCATTTATCTGTATGGTATCTTTTAGTTTTATATGACGTTGTTGTATTACTCGACAACGAATTCAGATCAAATAAAATTAAAACGTTTTTTTGACATAGAATCATACTCGTTCTTTGATATGTTTATCGAAACAACTCGTCCTATTTTTTTTCTGTATTTCTGTCCGAAGCACTGGCGCTAATACTCATGAACATTGTTTACATCGCTAATATGCTTTGCCGCCATTTTAACTTAATGCATTAATGAGTTGGCATCACGGATCCTTGAGTGGCCTTTTTTTCTAGCGTTCCTCGTGACATGATAATTTGACATAATTGGTTTATTTTGCGCATTTTAAAATATTTAGTGTACTTTATATTCGGAGAGCAGCAGTCGTTACTGATATTCAATTAGAATTACCTATGAATGTTGCAAGGAGCTGGAAAGTGCTGTCAGAGCTTAACAAAAAACCTCCGTTCCTATGAATCGTCTTATAATTATGAAAATCGAAAAGAGGGCATGTGGAACAGCTTTCCAATTAGTAATTAGGAATGTCAAAAGTGGGAGGTTGTACTTAGCAGTCTTTCACAATATGAAGGATATAGGGGCATATGGCAGATCTCAAACATCGTAGTGTTGAATGCTATAGACAAATTGCTTTCTAAGTTGATTTAATATTCAGTACGATTTAAATAAATGATTTATGATACTGAAAAATGATGATTGTTTCGGACAAATATTTATTTTCGGTGCATTATTCTTATTTCATTTATTTTTTTCCTTTTTTTTCCTTTTTTTTTTTAATTTCACGCCTACATATTCTTTTATATCTTTTTTTCTTTTAACGCCATTCGAGTAAAATACAAAATAAGTAACATAAACACAACAAAGTACACATGTCCATTGTAAACCTTTAGAATTTCTCTCAATTCCATGTATAAAAAACTAGCGTTCTGTCATAATATTGCTATCTTTTCGATCAGTAAGTTATATAAGTAACGTTTGATGTAAAAAAAGATAATGAAATAATTAAAAAATATATTTAGCTCATGAATTTATCTATTCACAGCAGGATACATACATAAAGACATTACCGTTAGAGAAACATCTCCATTTGAAAACGAAAATTCAAGAAATGTGTATTGTTGAGGAAATAAGAAGAAACATTTATAGTGAGCGTATTAACGGTTATGTAGGGAGGCGAAGAGAGGAAGTAGTACACATAGCTGGTACATGTTCTCTGGTAGAGCGGGAGTCTGGTTGCTGCGGCTTGCGTCGCCATCACTTTCTGACACCAGAGACAGAACTGTATTTTAATAAGCTTTGACAGTTATAACCCAACAGGAGAAATGATATATCTGGTTCTCGTTGTGTTTCTGGCCCTAGGCAGACCTCCCTCTCTACCCCTCCTCCCCATATCTTCTCCTTCCCATTCCCCATATCTTTTGCTGTCCGTAGTGTATAGTCCCGTATCGCCAACGTCCCTCTCATGATTTCCCTAATCCTACGTTATTTACGATCGAGACAGGAAGCAAGAAGAGACGAGTAGTTGTAAATAACAACAATTAAGTAGATTATGCCGGTGAGAATTATTTTTGCACCTGTTTTGTATACTTATAGCCCCCAAGTGACGACCATTCATGTCTCTGATTGGTTATAATTTATGAGTAGGATGCTCGGTCATTTCCGTCCATAGTGTACTCGCGAATCATTCCACGTGGGGAAGGAGATGGCGATGCCAGGAATTTAATTGGAGTATAAATTCTGTTTCTGTCTCATTAGTTAATAAAGAAGGTCTGATATTAGTTTTGTACAAATACTACTTTCAATGGAAAGGGGAGTTTACTTTTAATTCGTTTGAATTTTTTTTTTATTTATTTTTTTATCTTGGCACAAAAAGACAGGGGAATATTTTACTTAACAACCAACCATTAGAAATAAATTTCGCTACAGATGTCTGTACACTTTCAGTTTGTTTCATTCCAATGGATTTTTGGCACTAGACAAATCTTAAAGGAAGTCATATAAAGGTGTTTTATGGTACAATTTGCGCATCAGACATAGGTAAACATTAAAAAAAAATATATACTTAAAGATAAACAGCTAAATAATTAAAATTTTGAACTCCTCAAGTTCACGCAAAAATTGTACAATGTAAATATCCTTCAATAATAAAAAAAAGTTTCTCTAGTGCTGCAGTGGTGAGGAAGAAGAGAATGTTTGAGCCGTTTTATCAATTCAAGAGACATTAACAAAATAATTTTAAATTAATTGATTTTACAAAATGCAATATCTCATAAAGAAAAAAGTGAATAAAATGGTTTTTTGTTTGTAATATTTATGTTTTGTCACTGGCAAGAAAAGATTATAAAGGGACCATTTAAATGCCCTGTTGATGTTATTATGTATATGTGTTTGAATTCGTTAACACTCTTAATGATAGAAAGAATGAAGTGTAATGTCGATTGCAATATTTGGATATTTCAATGTACATAAATATTGTTTACAAGTTTCTCAGAAGTTCATAAAATTTAAACTGTTTCTTCAACATCGGTTTTAAGTTAATGAAAAAAACTCTTTATAATATTTTTTTAAAAACCCATAAAACATGTGCTATTATTAACAAACAATATGTTTTATATAACGTGGTCAACATAATATAATGTTTATTATAATAATACATAAATTAATGACTGATTCCTAATTTCTCAAAAGTTCTGAAATAAAAAAACCCATTCAGGTAAGGTTTTTTACCGAAATTATATAGCAAACGTTTTATTAAATTCATTTTCAGTTCGAAAAAAATATCTGTTTATCTAATAATACTCAACATTTCATAAATGATGATAAAGATTTGTCTCCAAAATTCCTTTTAACATTGAAAATTGACATTTACTCAAATGTGAAAAAAATAATTAAACGTTTTTTAAATGAATGTTTTTCTTGTCTCATCGAAAAATGTCGATTTAAAAAATTGAATTTTTCATAAAAACGCAGTTATAGTAATGAAAGCACAATGACAACTGACAAATGAACTGACGCTGTCCGGCCTAAGAACAATTGAGAAATGCAATATTGGGAAGAACATATAGATATGCTTGGTTTTTAATCTTATACTTTAAGATAGTTGTTGTTTTAATTTGTATCATGACTGATGTTTTCCACAAATACGTTTACAAATTTTAACAAGATATTTAGAATGAAAAGAAAAAGACATCTAACTTAAAAGAAGGTAATTAAAAACCTGTCACACACGTTTTAAATTCAAGAAACCCGTTGCATTTCTGGTCTTACCATATGTAACTCCTTTTCCCCCAAAAACACACCTAACCTCAAACCATGTGTTTCATTTAACTATTGATTCCGAAACAATGATAAATATTCACAACCTGTCCCGGCAGACCGTTCCTAATGCGATATATTAGAAACAACACACATTCTACAGTTTTTCGGATATGCCGATTTTTATATTCCCATGATGCCGAATGCAGAAGTGATAAGATTGTAGCTATGGAGACCTTTGGGGACCAATATGGTAGACGATTAAATATTAAAACCTGTTATAGAGAGATATGAAATAACACCAAAATATGATGATGAAATGGCGTATTAAACTGCATAACGGCACTAGGAATGGTACCAAGACGCTAATGTGTTGGCCTCGCGCGAGGAAGGCCAATGAAAGTTTCGAAGCACAAGTTCTCACATTTTAACCGTCTGCGTTTTTATTTGGCTTAGGAAAATGGAATGTGTTGAAGAATTCTATCGAGTTAGCGTTACATGGAAAATGGAATGGTTACACCTCTGGCAAAAATATGTTAAGAGCTATTTCATAATTCGTCACCGGGTGACAGTTCCACCGGTCGCTCGCCATGCATCATCTCTGTAATTGCGTAACTGTGGAGTCGAATGGAGTCGAAATGGCGATGCTGAGGTATGGCAAACTAGCATAAAACATGGAATCATATGTAATAAAACTGGCCCGTGTTACCAATAGTATCCCAGGAATTACACTTCTCAATGCCTCTCCGCTGTTAATCTTTTTCTCTTCAAACCGGGAAAAGTGTTTTACATGCAATTATGGTTTTGGTGTTTTTCCAAAAGGTTCATGGCTTTTTGGAGATACGTATATATGGACAGATTGGAAAAGAAAGATCTGATGGTTGAAGAAGAGTACGAAGAAGTGGGGGTAAAAGACGAGAGTAAAGAAAAAGGGGAGTAGGGGGAGAGTTATAACCCCATCAAGAAGACGAGTCTTGTTACCGAGGTTACCCACGCTGTAATAAAGAGATACATACAATTCTTTGGATGACAGACCTACCGTTATAGTCCTATTTCTCATTTTTCTTCTGACAGAAGACGACAAAGAAATTTCACGCTTCATGGAAATAGATGTGTTGAATATGGCCATTCTTGTATGACGAACCGTGTCTTTATGAATAATGTCTCTCATCTGAAACAAACAAGTGGACGCGTATTTGACACAAGATGGATGTTAGGGTAGCTGTACTCTCTTGTTAAGAAAAAGAACACTTGTCTTACTCATGGTTAAAAAATAAATCATAAAAGATTGCGAAATAGATACACCTTGATATGTTCCTTTTGTGACTTGCAATTTCATATACTAACACAAGGATTACTGTTTGCGATGCGGTGACAAGTTTATTCAATATTTGTTATGAAATATGAAAGTGTCTTAATGAACAAAAATATAACCACCGTGATATAATAGTCGACACACCTTGTGAGTTACACCTGCCTGAGGACAAAGAACAAAGGACACCGCCTCCTCGTTGTACCTTGTAAAGATACGTTCCGTCTGGCAGAGGGCATCCAAGGTCAATCAACACATAATAGTTAAAATGAAACGTTTAAATCAAGATGTTTTGTGCTCAATTTTTTTCCTCAAATAATTTATTTTCAAATAAGGAATTTCGAAATTTATGACTAAGATATTTCATCGTATTTATTAATTAAGTCACATTCACGAAAACATGCTAAAACGCCACCGACTTTCGTCATAAAGTCAGCTTTGTACCTCACGATGTGCGCTTGTTTATATAAAATGAGTATCTATTCATAGTACTCCTAACAAAGTTTAACAACATTTGACGCGATGACTCCACAAATTTAAGGTTCAATATAATATAATGCTTTATCTACAAAAACTATAAGCTACAACGCCAATATATCAGGACAAAATGGGACCTCAAATTTGAAAAAAAGACAACATCAGAATTTGAGAAAATATCGAAACAAAAGAAAGACATGGTGACCCCAGCTTTTGCGATACTGGCTTTAATGATTCCACTACATTTTAAAATTAGTATTGAAATATCAACATTATGTTAATATTTCAAGGGTATTTTTTTCAATTTGGAAAGTTCTTGTTTTATTGCAAAATAATTGCTGGTAGGTATATTGTTAGAAACATCAAACTCCAACAATTAGATGTATCAGTGGTGTAGACATCACAGAACTGACCAGTTGAACCCATACTGTATTGTCTGACGGTTAGATATTCTATTCTTTCTGTCATTGGGAGCGTCTTTTTAGCCTATTACATGCTATTTCTTAAAGCAATTATATTATATTAAATCCAATAAAAGTGCACTTATATTATGTTCGTTTGATGATAAAGCTAGCATTTTAAATACCAATTTTTAGGGAATTGTCCGGTCTTTTGTTTCCCGAAATGTTCAAACGCTATCAATCGAGTGCCTTTTGTCTTGTATGAAACCTTATGTTCATTTTATTAGCTGCTTTGAGAAACAGCAGCGTTGCTGTCGAAATGCAACTGCTGATGCTAATCTGTATATCTTGTGATGTCTTGTTATCTTAAACAATCCAGTAAATATGTGTATAGTCTTTCTTAAAAATGAAAAGTTCGGAATTTTGGTACAAATTTTGGAAGATATTGTCAATTTCCTACTCGATCATTCAAACCAAACTGCTAAACATTAAAGAAACTGCTTTGAAGAATCATATTACGTTTTTTAAAGTGTACATTAAGCTGACTTAACTTTAAACGAATTGTTCAAGAATGACAGATTCATGGCATGTACTTTGTTATGTCTACTTTCCTGTTCCGAATATTTCCCCGGCACAATCAGGGAGGCACCATCTCCGAGGGTGAGATAGGCTTATCTTGTGCCGTAGGGGAGGAGGGGATTGTTAAAAATACGTACGTTACGGATACCCGGCAAACGTTTGTCTTATCAGTACGTGAAATCCACGCCCATTTCAGACCACGGTAACTACTCCGCATGCCGTTCGGAACCCCTCCCAGTGTATAGATGGTAACCCGAGTAGCAGTTCTCAGCAGCCGTAGCAATATGCCATCAGAAAAACATTGCTAAACTTAGAACCAGTAACAAGTCAAAATGCCAACAGCTATAAAAGTGTCACTTAAGCCTTATCGCAGTTTTCAAAACTTTTTTACAAGTTAATGAAAAAATGATGGAGATAATTTTAGTGATTTCGACTCGGTATTATGTGTAAGCTTACTGCTTTATATGCTAAACGGTAGAATGTGTTTATCACTATATAGCGTTTAAGACTAAGGGCTATCTGGACGTTCCATGGCAGTGGATGATAACCAGAGTTAAACTGTACGATGACACAAGCTTATGCATAATACATTTGAGTGCTAAAATGATGAATTGTTTATTGCAGTTACATGTATGATATCATCATGCCAGGAAACAGTAAACCAAGGAGGCAACGGGGGCTCATGTAAGAAATACATAATGCAAGAGAACCTATATTTTAACAATATGTTTAATTTCATTTTAAAGAGCAAAAATTTCATGACACACATTTAGAAAAGTTATTTTTTATAAGGAGATACCGAAAACATTTACAAAAGTCTAGACCACCGGGATATTTTGAGATATATTTTTAGATAAGTTAATGAGGCAGGGGCGCCTGTCTTTGATAGGATAAATGTATTTCGCCCTAAACATGCATTCATTTGCATATCTGAATTAATTTATGAATTTATTACCAGAGAATATTTTAAAAAGATCACAAAACCTTTTCCTGAAAACAAAGGAAGGATTTTGAAAAAATTAACCAGAAATTAAAAAAAGGCTTATTATAATCATGATCTGATGACTTAATATGAAATCAAAACCCCCACTTATAATATGAAACTAAGTTATATATTAATAACTCTCCTTTTTGATAACAGACAGTTTAATTCTGAAGTCGGTAATCGTTAGTGTAGTTGGTTATTTTATCACTATATAGCGTTTAAAATAAATATCGTACCTGCCAGTGGAGAAATAGGAAAGTCCAACAAAATAAAAAGGTTATGAAGATGTGAAGAACTAAGTAAAGTTGATGATCTGATAAAGAATGTTTTGTTGTAACAGCTATTTCTTCCTACTCGTGGATCCTTGTCAATTCCCTGTAGACAAGTTGCAAATAATCGTGAATGCTGAAATTAAGATCTAAAATAGAGAGGCATGATATTTTCTTACGGTTTAGACGTGATTTCTCAATGTGGTTAATTTTCGAGTTTATAACAAGAACCGTTCGTTGGAATGGTGTCCATACACAATACACTGATAAACCTGAATTAGGACCACCTGTCTACAAACTGTCCTAATATCGATGTAATTATTACATAAATGTTTATGTTTTATATCAGAAATATGTATATAACAACAAACTTGTCTATAAGAAGAAGTTTTAGTTTTTAATGCTAAAAACTAAATAGTATTTGCAAACATAGCGCTATAAATGTCAAGTGACGTTGCAAGTTTTGAGTTATCTTTGTGAATGTGTAAAATAAAAAATAAAAAGTTTTTCTCAGAGAACGGAAGGATAAGGAAACTGCCATATTTTCTCTTTTTTTTCCCTATTCACACCTTCACAAGGCATTCGTCACTACTTTGTATTATCAATTCAATTTCGTCTACTCCGTCATAAGCAGTAAGAATGTCAAACACGTTATCGGAAGAAAAGTGCAATTTTTGCAATTTACAATTTTGCAATAAATTTGTGATAACAGTATTGCAGTCTATCTTAAATTATCTATATATTATGTTATCATCTTATAATAGCACCTAGCGTGAAGTAATTGTAAAATGGGAAATTGTAGTATGAGTGATTTCAGGTTGAGTCTTTCAGGACTCTTGTACTTTACTAAAAGGTTAAATGTTGATGGTCACACAATAGCACTAACGGAAGGGTCGTCATTAATGGTAAATTGATGTGCTGTTATTAATGAACGACTGAACATGGGTGGATGCTAATTTAATAAAAGAGTGTATATGCCTATCAGATCAGTAACCTATGTGATCTTTCAAGGGTGAAATCAATTTTGTGATGACGTTACCCTGACTAATTTGACATGCATGATTAGTTGACAGTTATCCTGATGTATCAAGGTATGTTGCTTTCATAACACAGTTCAATTTAATTTAAATATATAATACTTCCAGAGTTTTAAAACTTAAAATAAATTAGTCTACGATGCGAAGCAGAAAACGGAAATACTTATATTATTGCCAACTGTTTACAATTACCTTTTAAAAAATCCCTTCGACGTGTGAAAAGCTAACAGAGTACTTTGTATAAAGTTTTGTAAGCTTTGCAGTGGTGCATCGAATCATTTTGAAAACTTTATGCTTCATAAAAATATCAACATTGCTATGAACACTTTGTCTAATTCAAAGCCCTCAAATGCATAGCTGCCTTTTTATCCTTATAATGAAAGCAACAGTCGTACAGTCAAAATATAACTCAAGTCTGAAAGCTGACGACACTCGAAATATTTCAGTCAATTAAACAGTTGAAACAAACCTCATTGGCGTAATAATATTGTAAGCCTAATTTTGAAATCGATTTTCTTCCAAACTATTTTTGCATAAATGAATATTTTTGTGATTGGGATATATAAAGCCGATTATTTTGAATCCCAGAACGCATATTTTCTGTTTTCATTTTAAAAATTCGACAATATTGTATTTTCAAAATAAACCTAAATATGTCATTAAGGTAATGAGGCCTGCTATATCTAGGTCGGGATATGTTTAGCTTGATTGACGTGCATGCTGTATATACCCATAGGAATAGAATCACGATATGGGTGAATAGATCCATGGAATAGAATCACGATGTGGGTTAATAGATCCATGGAATGCATTAACATGACTGGTATGCAAATTAACACAATCAAGCTTCTGAACACGTTTTACTCAAGTAGAAATAGATTTGACATATTTCCAATACTCAAGATGACGTCGCTGATTGATACTTCAAAGTAAATATCTGTCGATGCTAAATATGTCGATGTAATGTTTGTAACAGTATGTAAAAAACACAGTAAAACTTCTTCATGTCGAGATAAAGGAACAGTTTAACCTCAATATGTCGACGTAAAAAAGTAGTCAGACAAAGTTATATCATCAAGTTTCAATACATTCCAACAATCTGCCATAGTTTATTTCGAAATAAATCAGAATTCATGTATCCCGATCTAAAAAAAAAGAAACACACAACTAAACTACAGTGGGGCCTGTGATTAACATGTAAGGGGTTATAGTTCGTTATAATGAAGTGACATAATGTCGGAAAATGCGTCTTTTTTTTACTCAAACTACAGATGTAGTTTAATATAAACACATATGAGAGCTTTCATGTACAATTGATGTCACTCTAGCATACTAGTAGATATATGACACACTGACATCGTTAATTATGTATATTGGGGAATTTTCGACCTTCTCCCATAAACTCAGTTTTCGCCAATCTCCCATAAAATCAATTTTTGCCAGTGTAAATTTCGCCCATCTCCCTTTAACTCAGTTTTCGCCCAGTGAAACTTTCGCCCATCTCCCATAAACTCAGTCTTCGCCCAGTGTAAATTTCGCCTTTCATATAAAATTTCAATGTAGATTATGTTGTGTACCTATATTCGCTTTAAGGTAATAGGATTGTGTCACCATTTCTCAGTAGAATTTCTTTAAATTTTATAGTTATATTGCTTTAAAGTAAAGAAAATTTTCTGCCACAAAAAAAGTATATCGGTTGTCAGAATTTTAAGGATTTTAAATGGAAATTTATGTAAAAAGGAGTGAATTTTGAAAAAAAAATGAAAGACACAATATTTTTACAAAATAATGTCAATAAAAATGATACTGACATATATTAGTATTGGATTAATGTATATCAATTTAATAAATGCTGAAATTGTGTAAAATTAATTCTCTATACACGATAGAAAAATTGACATTTTATAATAAAACCATATACACATAGTAATTGCAGGTAAGAGTTATTGTTCTTGAAAAACTTCACAGTAGTGAAATAGGTAGCCGGTTTCCTGAAGTAAAGAAAAAATGGACACATGTGACTCATTGATAAAAGAACCCCTGATTTAATGCCTGGATTGCTTTGAAATACTTTAATATCGAGAGAACACACTGTTCTGTCAATAATAAACATACAATATGCATCAGTTTAATATTAAACATTAGAATTTGCGGAAATTGTGATACTGTCTCCCTGCATTGGATTTTCAACTAGGGATGTACTTCCTGTTTCCGTTTATCAATACACTCCAATGACCTTAATGATAAATTCGCCCTCGTTAAGGAGGGCGAAAAAAGGCGAAAATTAAACTGCGGCGAAAAATGTCCGGTATACTGTACTACATCAAACATATTGCGAAATATAAAGTCGATGAATCTGTGCGGAATTTTTTTTGTCTTGCAGAAAACTTTTCGATTAACTGATTACATTAATATCTTTACTGTTTTTTATATTGAATTGATTTTATATAATATACATCTAAGTTGTTTTGTAGAAAAAAACATTGTTTACACTCCTCTCGTTGGCAGCAACACAACAATAGTAATTCGTTAAATAACTATAGCAGTCTGTTTTAGCACAATTGATATGAATGCTTGTGCTGAATGACTTACAAGTTTATAAAAAGGAAATTAAACATTCATTCATTATTGAAAAAATAGATATATGAAGATATCAATTTTCAATATTAATTTTGTTTCATGTGCTAACTACATCAGAAAGATTCAGATTGATGTTTGACTGATGCTACAAGGTGAGTTAAAATCAAATTAATCTTCAGAAGGAATGTTTTAGGCTAGATGACTGCTTCTTTGAACAACATGGACATTTAGAGATGCATAACGATATCGCCATGTTATCATTACGTTAATATTTCTCAAATGGGGCGTTACAACATTGGAGTTTTTATTTTAAACAAAAATTGCCATGAAATATTTCGAATGTGCATTTTCTGGTCTGCATTGTGCAGAT